CTTGAGGAGCTCAGGGTCTAAAGATACAAGAGACAAGCAACCAAACCATCTGAAAACAAGGTGATATACTCTAAAACAGAGGTATGCACTACAGGCTGTGTGAGCATAACGGAGGTGATATCTGAGCTACACTGGAGGAATGATCAGAGGTGGGCTTTCCAGAAAGAGAGAACAGCATATGCAAAGGCACAGAGGCATGACAGACAGTACAGTATTCTGGGAATATCAGGAAGGTAGATCTGAACGGAGCAAAATTTTCTTTTCTTTTTTTTTTTTTAAAAAAAGATGACCGGTAAGGGGATCTTAACCCTTGGCTTGGTGTTGTCAGCACCACACTCAGCCAGTGAGCAAACCGGCCATCCCTATATGGGATCCGAACCCGTGGCCTTGGTGTTATCAGCACCGCACTCTCCCAAGTGAGCCACAGGCCGGCCCTGGAGCAAAATTTTCAAACAAGTGCACTATCCACAAGTATGTGGAAATTAAACAATACACTTTTAAACAACGAATGAGTCAAAGAAGAAACCACAAGGGAAATTAGAAAACATCTTGAGGCAAATGAAAATGAAAACACAACACACCAAAACTTACGGGATTCAGTGAAAGCAGTGTTAAAAGAGAAGTTTATTGTTGTGAAAGATCTCAAATCAGTAACCTAACTTTATCCCTCAAGGAAGCAGAAAAAGAATAAACTAAACCCAAAGCTAGCAGAAGGAAGGAAATAATAAAGATTACAGCAGGGATAAACGAAATAGAAAATAGAAAAAAAACAAAACTGAGTTGGTTTTTTTGAAAAGACAAAATGACAATCTATTAACTAGATTAAGAATAAAAGAGAGAAGACTCAAATAACTAAAATCACAAATGAAAGAGTGGACATTACAGCTTATGCCACAGAAATAGAAAGGATCATAATACTATGAATGATTGTATACCAAGAAATTGGATAACCTAGAAGGAATACATAAATTCCTGAAAACTTACAACCTATCCAAACTGGATTATGAAGAAACAGAAAATCTTAACAAATATATAACTAATAAGGAGATTGAATTAGTAATCAAAGATCTCCTAACAAAGAAAATTCTGGCTTTGGAGAATTTTACCAAACATTTGAAAAAGAATTTAACACCAATCTTCCTCAAAGTTTTCCAGAAAAATGGAGGGGAGGCAACATTCCCAAACTCATCCTGTGAGGTCAGCATTACCCTAATACCAAAGCCAGGTAAAGACAATAAAAACTACAGACCAATACTCCGGATGAATGTTGATGCAGAAATCCTCAACAAAAAACTAGTAAACTGATTCAACAGCATATTAAAAAGATTATACGCCATGACCAAATGGGATTTGTTCCTGGAACACAAGGATGGTTCAACACATGAAAATCAATCCATGCAATATATCATATTAACAAAATGGAGGTCAAGCAGTTGCACTGCAGAGTGTGCCAAGAGCTGCCATAGCAAAAAACAGGTGAGAGCAGCCAACCCAACTCTTTTACCTACCCCAGATCTCCCAAGTTTCTTCAACTAGAGAAGCTCTAATTAGAGTATCTATTTTTATCTATCTTAGATATTAGACTTCAAGTTAAACTTCATCTTGAAGCAATGGGTAACTGTTGAAGGATGTTAAGCAGGAGAATAACGTGATCAAATTTGTGTTTTACAAGAGTAACCAGCAGCAGTGTGAAGAACTGGAGAGACCGGAACCAGAGAGGTTAAGTCAGGAGGCTACTGTTTTCCCAGATGAAGAGGGCCTACACTGAAGCCAAAGAGATGCAGAGAAGGGTTCATATATTAGAAGTAATCACACCAGGATTTACTTCCTGACTAAACATGGTTAAGTGAGGAGTTGAGTATGATTTTGTTTATTTATTTATTTATTTATTTTGATTATTTATTTCGTTTTTGAGTACAATTTTGAATTACTAACTAGTTTGGATAACTTGGTGGACGGCAATGCCATTAAATAAGATGAGAAAACACAGGGTAAAAATGGTTTTCTAGAAGACAGAGAAGAGGTTGGTTTTGGATATGCTGTGCTAATGTGACAGTGTTACTGCCAATAAATATCACATGTATTTCGGTGAATAGAATTCAATAAAACTAACAGTAGAGAAAACATTTAGCAATTGCAAGCCAAAAGATAACAGACAGGCACTAAAGTGAGAGCCAAATTGATGGTATCATAAGATGCCAGGCTCTTAATTCCAAACAAGACCTCACATAAGTCACTGTGTGAGTAGAGCCTTGGTCACCTGTCCATGATTCATTTTCATGAAGCTATAAAAAAATAAGACACAGTGCCATATTTTGTCAAAAGTCTTATCTCAAGCACCGACAACACAGGGAAGCAGCAAAGGAACCTCCAAATGCTTCTGAGTGGCAAATAATGGTCATAAATCCCAATTATTTCCCTTTATAAGCCAGGCAGAGCCACTCTTAGATCCTCACCAAAACAACTATGTGAAACAAGGCCACATATTAAACATCAGGATAAGGAATACTGAGTATCAGCAAAAGGACCTGTGATTAAGGAAGCTAGATACTTGAACCTGTTTACTATAGGTAGATACACTGTGGCATAGTAAAGTAATTAAAGTTCAAAAGAATAGCCATGAGTTTAATAATGTTGAGTATATGCTAGTTCCTAACGTAATGACTACTAGAAAGTTTTTATCAATATTAATTTTTTTTAAATTTGTAAGTTTAAGGGCTTAACTGAATGTAGGCAAGCATCACTAATTTTAAAAGTTTAGGATATAAATCTCTTCCTGACAACACTGAATGAAGAATGAACTATTACACATTTCTGTTGTCAAAATGACAGAAATTTACACTAATCAAAATAAGTAAAAGAGCCTTACCTTTTGCAGGCTTATATTTGAGATTGAAAGGCTGATTCTGCCAGATGTAGGGGACCAGCATAGATGCAAACTGGGTCATTATTCTCTCAATATACATCTGAAGAATCTCTTTGTGTTTTTCTGGATCCCTTGATTCATCTGGTATCAGGAACAGGCAGTACTCCACAGTGTCTTCCACTGTAGCAAGCTTCATATTTTCTTCCATTCTTCTTTGAAAACTACATTTAAAGTTTCCATAATATAAAGCACATAGAACAATGTAGAAGTAAAATCCCATTCCCTGAACTCTTCTAGTGACTCCATTAAAATTGTTTTCCAAAATTCAGTTATTCACACACCATCATCATGGTTTCTGCCTTCACTATATACAACCGATAGTAAAATTTATTTCATATTATTCTTTTAGGGCTGGCCAGTTAGCTCAGTTAGTTAGAGTGTGGTGCTGGTATCACCAAGGTCCAGGGTCTCATCCCTGTACCAGCCAGCAACAAAAAAAAAAAAAAAAAAAAAAAAAAAAAAAAAAAAAAAAAAAAAAAAAAAAAAAAAAAAAAAATAGTAAAATTTATTTCATATTATTCTTTTAGGGCTGGCCAGTTAGCTCAGTTAGTTAGAGTGTGGTGCTGGTATCACCAAGGTCCAGGGTCTCATCCCTGTACCAGCCAGCAACAAAAAAAAAAAAAAAAAAAAGTATATATACACATATTTGTATACATAATTCTTTGAATGACATTTTATATTTAAAACTATATTCTTTATGTTTAAAATTATATTAAAAGTTAATCTTGATCCAATACAGTGAATGGAAATCCAGTATCATATTTCCAAATTAACTAATAGGTATGTAAGAAGAAAATTTTAAGTGTTTGCCCTTGTACTAGAAGTGGTGTGTGTAACACACTTCGAGAAACACTGCACTAACATTTACTGTTTAAATACTGTCAAAAGTCCCAGTTCTGCCACTAATTAGTTGTCACTTTGGGCACATGATTTTCTCTTTCTGGGGCTTTTCCCTTAATCGTAGAGTGAGAGTGCTACTTTACCACCTTTAAAATCCCTCCCCGCTTTAAAATTTTATATAAACCCTCTAAAGAGCAATCTCCCTTGCTCTGCAGAATTTAAATCTCTACCTTTTACGAACATTGTATGGCACAAGGGAATTCAAAACTACAAACCATTCATGTCCTATCATCTCACCCCAAAATAATTTACCCACGGTTCTTGATCCTATAATTATTTGTTCTAAATATGTCCCCTTTTTCAAGTCTCAAGGAGTATACTAAGAAGTGGTAGATATCTCTCGGTTTTCTAAGGGTTTTCCTTGTAAACAACAGTACTAGTTTACTATGGCTGACAAGTGATGCCTGGCAAAGGAAGGCAATGCACTGGGTGGGCCACTGGGACGCAGGGATTTGATTCTTACGCTTACTCGGCTTTCTAACGGACTATTCAGGTACCTGAATCTTCCATTCAGACACTAACTCACCAGTCTGTCCAAATCATCATTTTGCCTTTGAACCCAGAGGGACAGACAGAAATTCTACCTCCCGCCCCATCGCGCCAAGCGCACCTTATTATGCAGAATTTACAGTGTCAGAGCTGGCAGGGACTTCGAGATCACTCAGCTTAACACAATGTACAAGTGAGAAAACCGTGAGCAGAGAAAGAGAAGCGACCAAGCAGCAGGGGCCTGACTTGGAGTCTAGCGCTCTACTTAGACTAGGCTTCCTCCTTTCATCTGACAAAATGAAGTCAATTCCTCTTACGGTTCTAGGGCCTCTCCTGCGTGTCTCTGCTGTGGCACCTTTCCTCAGCCGCCCCCTCTCGTTGAGCTGGTCGGGGGCTGCCACTAGCCGCCAAGGCCTGCACCAGGCTCGTTCCGGACGCCCGCCTGGGACCTGAGGCCAGCGGGAGCCCAGCGAGAAAGTGTGAAACCCGCTCAGTTCCCGGAACCTTGGGTGTCGTCACTGCTGCGCTGCGGCGGGAGCATTTGGCTGGTGCACGCGTGCCTTCGTCACTTCCGTCCCCGCGGGGAAGCAGGGAGGTGGGAGGACTGAAGAGGTGGGAACTCTGCGGAAGTGGCGGTCTGGAGTCTAGGCGACGGGGTGAGACGGCGCCGGTAGGTGGCGGGAGGGGACCGGGCCGGAGCCGGCGGGAGGGCCAGGTCCGGAGGCCCCCACCCTGGCCTGCCCGCCGCGGCCGCGGCTGAGGAGGAGGAGGATGATCTCCAGATACACCAGGAAGGCCTTGCCACACAGCTTGGAGCAGTGAGTGGACCGCTGAGCCATCTCAGCCGGGGCCGCGGGAGGCTGAGGCGGGCCGAAGGCACTCTAGGAACCGTCATTGACCAGTCCTTCGCTGCTTTACTTTCTCAGGGCTGGGGAGAGAAACAGTTCTACAGAATTCTCTATTCCCAGCCCTGTCTGTTGCTGGCACTTGTCCCACCATCTCCAGCTGAGGGCGTATCACCCGTGCTATCCTAGGATTTGGCCTCTTGGGCTGTACTTCCTGAACTCAGGGACCGGGGCTCCTAAGGCATTTGTAGTCTCCGCAGTGCTTCATTCCCCACTGTCAATAGCCATTCACAACTCTAGAAGTTATTAGTAGCTAACTGAATGCTGCAATAAAGTTGAATACATCTAGTGCCAGACACTGTGCACAGTTGTTTACATGCATTGGCTCATTTAATCCTTTCAACAAGGATATCAGGTTGGGAATATTATTTTGCACGTTTTCCAGATGAAGATCCCAGATTTAAAGATTGTAGCATGCCAAAGATTACACAGCCAGGATGTGGTAGAGCTGAGAGGTACAAACCTGGCTTTGATCTGATAATGAAGTCCGTGGCCATAACTTTTACACATACTGCTTCTCCATTTCTACAGTTAAATGTCGGAATCCATAAGGACCCGTTTTTTTTTTTTTTGTCTTTTGTCTTTTTTCCGTGTCCGGCAACGGATCGCAACCCTCAGTGTTGCCCCCGTACCGGGCCGGGGACCGGCAACGGGATCGCAAGCCTCGGTGTTGCTCCCGCGCCTCGCTCAGCCAGTGAGCGGGAACCGGTCTGTATATGGGATCCGAACCCTCGGACGGGAGCGCTGCCACGCTTCCCAAGCGGTGCACTATCCAGTGCGCCACCGGGTCGGCCCCATAAGGACCCGTTTTGCTTCTGGTTTAAAGACCCAGTTCCTACCCCTAGTGATGTGTTGTAATTTATCAAGTAATGATAATATCTTGCATTTATCAATGCTTTACACTTTCAAAAGGACTCTCACTTTTTGATGCTTAAAACAACTCTGTAAGATAGCTATGATTATCTTCAGTTTTTGATAAGATGAAATTATGCCAGAATGATTACACATTTTAAGATTATATAGCCAATAGAGTCAGGATTTGAGCTTGGGCTTTTTAACACCAAAAATTTTTTTTCCTTCACTGAGCTTTGTAACTTTAGCAACCATACATTTATTAATTAAATATTAACCCTACATGGTAATAGCAAGCATGATATTTTGAGGCACACTTGGTTTTCTGGCTAGGCTTTTTTTTTTCTAGCCATGTGACTTTTAGGCAAATTACTAAATCTCTGAGCCTTCATTTATGTATTATAGGAAGAAGACCTTCTTATCTAAAAGCATATTTAAAAGGCCGGCCAGGTGGCGCACTGCTACGGCGCTCCCGCTGAGGGTTCGGATCCCACATGCAGACCAGCCGCTCACTGGCTGAGCGAGGTGCGGGCACAACACCGAGGGTTGCGATTCCGTTGCCGTCCCGGTCCGGTGCGGGCGCGACACTGAGGGTTGCGATCCCTTGCCAGTCACGAAAAAAGACAAAAAGGAAAAAAAAAAAAAAAAGCATATAAAGTGATGGTGTAAGACTTGACACATAGTAGATTCTCAGTAGAAGGTAATTTCCTTGTCCCTTCCCACTTTTACTTGATACAATAGACATACAAAGAAAACAAGCCTAAAAATCTTTCCTTGCCTTTCAGAATTTTATCTATTAAGAAATAGGATATCTATATGGTAGCAATTCAGATAATGAGCTCTTTAGGAGCTGAGAAGAAGAAACAGTCATTTCCCAATAAAGTGAACAGGGCTTAGCTAAAAATCTGCTTTCATAATTAATTCTGATCATTCTGAGAGTAAAAAAGAAAAAAACTCATATGGAAAAAAATGTCGATAGGCACTTAATGGAACAGAATTATTGAGTCAGTATAGTTGTTCTTGACTGTTGATTTGATACGTCCTAAAGATAATTCTCCCAAAATATGATTCTCTAGCTGGAGTCATGATGAAGTAAATAATGAAGATAATGAAAATAAAATGCATATAAATGACAGTAAGTTAAAATCAATTTTTACTTTAGATATTTTAACAATAATCTGCCTTCAAGCAGTAACTTTAGTTTTCTCCCTAACAGAAATTATGGATGTTGAAAAGAGTTTGGAAAGAGTGATTTTCAACATATAGCTTAACAGTCTGTAATAAAAAATTTCAAGCATAAATGTATAGAGAATAGTATAACCACCCATCACTCCATGTTCAACAGTTATCAAAGTTTTGATATATTTGCTTCATCTATCTTCTTTGTTTTTTTTTTTTAGCCTTTGTTCCTCTCTGTGACATAAGGAAAGCAAAACCCCAGACACTATCATTTCACCCCATATATTTCAGTAAGCATCTCTAAAAAGTATAAACTTTTTTTTTTTTTTAAAGATGACCGGTAAGGGGATCTCAACCCTTGGCTTGGTGTTGTCAACACCACGCTCAGCTAGTGAGCCAACCGGCCATCCCTATATAGGATCTGAACCCATGGCCTTGGTGTTATCAGCACCACACTCTCCCGAGTGAACGATGGGCCGGCCCAAAAGTATAAACTTTTTAAATGTAATCACAATGCTGTTATCAAATTGAAAAATACTTCTTTGTTATTATTATGTAATTGTCACTTCATAGTTAGATTTCCCTGACAGAATAAAAAATCTCTTGAGTCTCTGTTTCATAGCTGCAATCCATATATCTGATCCCTACCATTTTCTCAAAGACAAGCTCTTGGTTGTAGGATCATTGAATGAGAGAAGTGCAGATAGCTCTGCACAAATCAATCTCCATCATTAGAGAAATAATTTAAAGTGCAAGCTCCACTGACTGGGCCCTCAGCTTATATCTTTATATACAAAAATGGTATAATTCACTAAAATCTCAAACTATTCTTTTCCTCTGAGAGGCCCTGGAGCCAGAGTACTTGGATTTGAATCCTAGCTCCATCATTTTCTAACCATATGACCTTAAACAGGTTACTTAATTCCTCCGTGCTCTTTTCCTTTCCTGTGAAATAAGAGTATTAGAGATTTATAATACATATTTGCATATTAAAAGCCCAGAGAAGACCTCTTGTAAAGAAACCTCAGTAACTTTGTTTAAACCTCTAATGTTTCCTAAATTTACTTGACTACAGAATTTGTTGGGAAGAAAATTCTACTGTAGATGATTAGGACTAGAACAAATAGTAATTGACCCCATAGTTTGTTCCAGTGCACATGTTGAACTCTAGCAATGTCCAATAGAAATATAATATAAGCCACATACATAATTTAAATTTTCAGGTGGTCATATCAAAAAAAAAATTAAAAATTTTTTACCTTTTTATTTTGAAATAAAAGACTCATAGGAAGTTTCAAAAATAGTACATAGAGTCCCATGAACCCTTCACCCAGATTCCCTAATGGTGAGATTTCATATAATTAGTCATTTCAAGGCCAGGAAACTGACATTGGTACAATATTGTTAACTAGACTACAGACCTATTCACTTTTCACCAGTTTTGACATCCACTCCTATATGTGTGTGTTTGTACATTGTATTGTGCTATACAATTTGTATAGTTCTATACAATTTAGTTTATACAATTGTATAATTCTGTACAATTTGGTCCCATTTATAGATTGGTGTAGCCACCACTACAATCAAAATAGACAGCTGTTTCATCAACACCAAGGAACTTCCTTTTGTACCCGTTTATAGTTATATCCACTCCTGTCTCCATCCCCTGTCAACCACTAATCTGTTTTCTACTTCTCTAGTTTTGTCTTTTGTGAATTTTTTTTTTTTTTTTTTTTTTTTGTAATTGGCTTTGGCTTTTTTCGCTCAACATGATGCCCTTGAGATCCATTCAAGTTGTTGCATGTATCAGTAGTTCATTTTTTATTGCTGCGTAATATTCCATACTTACACTTGTATTAGAGTTTAACCAATCACATGTTGAGGGATGTTTGAGTTGTTTCCAGTTCTTTTTCAATTAGAAATAAAGCTGCTATGGATATTTGTGTACACATTTCTGTGTGAACATGTTTTCATTACTCTGCGTTCAGTACTCAGTGGTATAGCTGCTATGCCTTTAGGTAAATGCATGTGTTTAGTTTTATAAGAAACTGCCAAACTATTCCAAAGTGGCTTCAGCATTTGACATCCTCATCAGCAATGTATGAGTTATCCAGTTTCTCCATATCCTTGTCTACATTTGGTATTACCAATATTTTTTATTTTAGTTGTTCTAATAGATGTGCAGTATTTTCAATTTGCAGTGAAATTAATTTTAAGGATATATTTTGTGTAATCCAACATATCTAAAATATCATTTTAGTATATGATCAATATAATTGATGAGGGCCGGCCCGGTGGCGCACTGCTACAGTGCGCCGCTTGGGAGCGCAGCGGCGCTCCCGCCGAGGGTTCGGATCCCACATACAGACCGGTTCCCGCTCACTGGCTGAGCGAGGTGCGGGCGCAGCGCCGAGGGTTGCGATCCCGTTGCCGGTCCGGTCCGGTACGGGCGCGACACTGAGGGTTGCGATCCATTGCCGGACACGAAAAAAGACAAAAAGGAAAAAAAAAAAAATATATATATATATAATTGATGAGATAGTGCACATTCTTCATACTAAGACTTCAAAATCCAGTGCGTTTTACACTTATAAACACAATCAATTCTGGCTAGCCACATATTAACTCCTAGTGGTTAGTGGTTACTGTATTGGAGATTGCAGTTCCAGAGCAGCAGGAAGTAGTTGACTAACTTCTAGATCAAGTTACTGAAAAGTATGTATTTTTTTCTTTACAAGAAATATAACTTTTTAAAAAAATTAAAGAAAAAAAAAGAAATATAACTTTTTTATTTTTTAATCTTTCACAGGAAAGGAATAACAAAACATGCTCTTAATCATCATCCACTTCCAGAGAAGATTTGTGAAATTTCCTCTACCTGTGATAGCCATGAAAAAGATACAAGTTCCCAAAGGTAATAATACAAAGTATACTTGTTTGCTTATTGCTCTTGCTAATGGCAAAGGTTTTGTTTTTGCTTTAGGATTGGTATCAAGCCTTGTGCTAATGAAACAAAGTAAGAATTTTTATCACATGTTTTTAGTACCATTCGATTTTCATTCTGGAACAGCTAATGGCAATATGTACTTATTTTCATAATCTTTGAGCAGTAGTATTGTGAAGTAATTAAGAACATGGATTCAGGGCTGGTGGGTTAGCTCAGGTGGTTACGGTGTAGTGTTATAACACCAAGGTTAAGGGTTTGGATCCCCATACTGGCCAGCCACCAAAAAGAAAAAAAGAACGTGGATTTAGGAGCAATCTGACATTTGATTTTTAGGCCTGGTCCTGCCACTTATTAGCTGGTAACATTGGACATGTCACTTACCTGATAATACTATCTCTTATAGAGTGTTGTGAATATAAATGAGATAAAGTGTGTAAAGCTGGACACAATTCTTGGCCTATGGTAAATACTGAGTAAATATAAGTTGCAGTTATTATTTTATGAAATAAAACAGAGGAGACTAACTTCAAAGAAGGTTCTGAGAAGCAATTTATTATCATTGAAAAACTATAAAGTCGGGGCCGGCCCAGTGGTGCACTGCTACAGTGCGCCGCTTGGGAGCGAGGTGGCGCTCCCGCCGAGGGTTCGGATCCCACATACAGACCGGCCGCTCACTGACTGAGCAAGGTGTGGGCGCAACACCAAGGGTTGCGATCCCGTTGCCGGTCCTGGTCTGGTACAGGCGCGACACTGAGGGTTGCGATCCGTTGCCGGTCACGAAAAAAAGAAAAACTATAAAGTCATGAAACCTAGTTTTAAAACCTGGAACTAAACCTCAGATTCTTTTTTTTTAAAATTGAGTTCTACATCACTAGATTGTTGTGAGGATAAAATGAAATTAATATGTGTAAAAGTACCATACAAGTTCAGATACTACAGTGAACATTTCTGAAATACTTGTACTTGTCAAGAGTATATGTTATAAGTGGAATGTTAAAGTATTCATTGTAGACTATGACTAGATTTGGAAGGGCTGCCATCACTTCTATAGGAATTAGGTAGACTTTTCCATAATGCTTGAATTTCAAGTTCTTCATTTATTTTTGCCTCTGCAGATATATTTGTCCATGTGCTTATCAGTTGATAAGTTGCTAAGTAGTTAATGCTGCAGAAACTTGAGGAAATATAATAATTTTTCTGTCTTCTCTTCTCCCAAATTGTGCATTTAGTGAGTCTGACATCACACGAGAGTCACCTTTTACATCAGCCAACACTGAGAATTCAGAGTCTGCTTTTCCAAGTTATACAGGCACAGGCATCTCTACTGAAGGCAGCTTGGACTTCTCCTGGGGATATGGTGTGAGTTGTATGTTATCAGTGGTATAGAGTGCTTGGGAGACTATTCTGGGGGTTAGGATTTGTCAGTATATTTCATTCCTTCACTCTCTTGAATTGTTTCTTTATATTTTAAAACTTAAATTTATCACACTTTGTAATGTTTGTTAAGAAGCATCAATCCTCACCTTCTTTCAGCATTTGCTTTGTTTTATGGATATAGCAGTTGAGCCTTGGAGATACTTAGTGTTTGACTTAAACAGTTGCAGGTTATTATGGATCTGGGCTCTGGATCTATACCTTTTGCCATGCTCAGTCCGCTAATATGCCTCTCAACCACTAATGTTACCTTGTTAAAAATGTTTTTGAAAGTTTATAATTAAGCCATTGTAGGCGGGAAATGTTAATGATATGTTGTTAAATGAAAACAAGTAGGTTAAAGTAGCATGTATACTGTGGTTCTAATTTTGTTTTACATATATCTTTGCTTATGCGTATTAGAAAAAAGAACTAATGATATTTACCTAAATGTTGTTCATTTGTTGTTAATTAGGTGATGAGATAATGAGTGATTTTTACTTATTTATCTATTTTTGGCTATCTTCATTAAAAAAATTTTTTTTGGTGGCTGGCTGGTATGGGGATGTGAACCCTTCACCTTGGTGTTACGAGTACCATGCTTTAAACTAAGTGAGCTAACTGGCCAGTCCTAAAATACTGTTTTTTAAAAGACCAAGAAAATTTAAAAGACAAATTTTGTGCATAATTTTATCACTTTGAGGCCATAGGTATTTTTGTGTCTTTATCTTCTTTCAATCTGTATTTCATTTGGCCTACAATCATGGTATACATATAATATTATGCTTTATTTTTTTCACTTATTATTTTGTAGTAATAATTTTTTTCACTTACTATTTTGTAATAATTTCTACAATCTTATTTTATATGGTTTTATTGTTAGCAACCTGCTTTTTTAAATAAAAAGGTTGCTAATTGTTAAAACCTATTATTATTACCATGAATTATTTTCTAATCATTTTTGAATGTATATATACTTTCCTTACATAGTTGTATGATATATGTGCATATTATTTTGTGGTCTGCTTTTTTTACTTATACCATTATTTCATATAGATGTTTTCTTTTACTATCTCCATACCTGTCAATTTGAATAGTTATATAATATTTCATTGTGATAATATATCATAATTGGAGCTTTCCCATATTACCTGATGCTTGGGTATTCAGTTTTTCTTCATTCATTTGACAAATATTTATTGACCATCTTTATTTTTTTAATTTTATTTATTTCTTTATTTTGGCAGCTGGCCGGTACAGGAATTGAACCCTGGAATTTGGTGTTATCAGCACCACACCCTAACCAATTGAACTAATCATCCAGCCCCTCAATAGATATTACTGAGCATGTTTGCTGTCACTGTACTTGACCCTGGGAATATGTAGGGAGCAAAACTTACATGATGTAATAGTCTAATGAGGGAGATTGACAAAAGCAAATAAAATACAAAATGTGATAAGTACTCTAAGGAAGACAACAGGCGCTGGCTGTTTAGCTCAGTTGTTTAGAGCACAGCCTTATAACGCCAAGGTCACGGGTTCAGATCCCCTTACTGGCCAGCCACCAAAAAAAAAAAAAAAAGGAAGACAGTAAGGTGCTGAAATAGTACATTATTAGGGGGATTCACTTTATACAGGGCTATTAGGTAGGGCAGATCTGAGACTTGTAGATTGAAGAGTTAACCATGTGAAGAGTAAAGAAAGCTTTCCAGACAGGTAACCAGCAGCATATACAAAAGCCCCAGGGAGTATAAGAGCTTCGTGTTTCCATAGGAAAGTGTTTGGTTTGTTCTTGGAACTAGAAAAGGTCAGGGTGGTTGGAGGGTGGTGAACCAGGGGAAGAAGAGCACAAATGAGATCAGAGAGGTAGGCAAGACTAGATCATGTAGGCCATTGCAGGCCATGGTAAAGAATTTCAATTTTATTATAGAGAATTAATTAATTTATTGTCTGATCAGGAGGATTTAGTGTACTGACTGTATATTTCCATCACTTCTCTCTATATTGTGATTAGTATCTCTTTGTAAGTTACAAATGTCATACAGATGTTTCCCATTCCCCTGCTATCATTTAGTGTTTATTGTGTAACAGATTAAAAAAAAATTTAAATATAACCATCTCACTTTTTTTTTTTTTCCTTTTCGTCTTTTTTCGTGACCGGTAACGGGATCGCAACCCTCGGT